GTATTGGGGGGGTGGGTGTCCCCCCAGGGCAGGGTGGGGGACCAGGATGGGTTGTCCCTCTCCGAGGTGCACGAGCACCTCATACGCTCCCCGCCCCCCACCTCGCTCCCCAAGGGGGTTCCTGTGGGGGTCTTCGTCTTCCCCACGGGCGTCGCGGACGTCAAGGTCAGGATTGGGGAAATATCTGCTTGTTGTTGATATTAGGATAATATATATTGAGTTATTAATATATAGAATGAATTATTGTGAATTTGGACCGAGTTTGAGCAAGTTAATAATTAAGTATATATAATATAATCACAAGGTTATTGGGTTCGTTTGACCGATCGGCGTAGTTCTTGAAAACTGAAAGTTTCTGGATGAACAGTGAATGCATTTAAATGATTTCTTAAAAATTATATCTGCGTGCATTAGTGTTAAGAATTCTATAAAAATAATAATCAAAAAGTTAGTTCTAGTTAGTTCACCATTTTAATGGTGAAATAATGTAAATAAGTAATAACTGATGAATCATGATGGCGTTGGCGCCGAGCAGCAGGGGGCGCAGGGGGGCGGCGCCCTGGGGGGACGGGCGGTCTCCCTGAACCCGTTGGTGGCCCGTGGCCACGAGGACGTCCTGGACGTCAACCTCCGCCAGATCCTCGACACCCAGAAGCAGCTGCACGTCCCCAAACGTACGTAGTCCCCAGCAGCTGCACGTCCCCAAGCGTACGTAGTCCCCTGCAGCTGCACGTCCCCAAACGTACGTAGTCCCCAGCAGCTGCACGTCCCCAAGCGTACGTAGTCCCCAGCAGCTGTACGTCCCCAAGCGTACGTAGTCCCCAGCAGCTGCACGTCCCCAAACGTACGTAGTCCCAGCAGCTGCACGTCTCCAAACGTACGTAGTCCCAGCAGCTGCACGTCTCCAAACGTACGTAGTCCCAGCAGCTGCACGTCCCCAAACGTACGTAGTCCCCAGCAGCTGCACGTCTCCAAACGTACGTAGTCCCAGCAGCTGCACGTCCCCAAACGTACGTAGTCCCTAGGAGCTGCACGTCCCCAAACGTACGTAGTCCCTAGGAGCTGCACGTCCCCAAACCTCACGTCCCCACCCCCGCGTTATTATTAAAATTAAATGAAATTATTAAGTCTGATAGAATTAATGTATCATCGAGGTATAATTTACATCGTTGTTATCATTTGCTGTTATAATTTTTATTATAAATGATATTATTTTTATTGGGGATACTTTTATCATTAATATCATTAGTATCATTATTATCACTGTATTTTTTGTGAATAAAGGAGCGTATGATAAATGCTGAGTCATGGTCTCCCCCAGACGACGGGGGGAGCAGCAGCGTGCCGGGCTCCCCCGCGCGGGGGGGAGGGGGGGTGAGCAGTCAGGCTAGGGGAGGCCGCTCCCCAACTGACGAGGCTGCGACACCAATCCCCACCGCTGGTACGATAAATTACTTCCATGTTATAATGTTTTTCTTCACAATTTTGTTATTGATATTGATGGCTTATTCTCTATTCTTGTCGGTAATTGCTGTTGAAAGATATATTATTTTTCAAGAAGACAATATAACGATTTGTATAATGGATGTTGAAAATTTTTGTTTTTATTTTCCATAAAATATTTATTTTTTTATTTCCCGACGCCTGTTGCAGGCTCAAGTTTGAACAGCAGCCTAGGAAGTTTTCTCTGTAGTGGCCGCCCGACAAGTTTCAGTCCCTTGTCGGGTGGCGGGAACCTGGCGGGTGGCGGGAACCTGGCGGGTGCCCCCAGCAGCACAGCACCCCTCGCACCCCTCATGCCCCCCGGTAGGAGACAGGCGCCCCTGGGGCGCAGTGAGGGGCCCAGGGACGCTGCCCCTCCTGACATAGTCGCAGCATCGCCAGCGCTGCTGCCCATCTTGCCGAAGACCAAGAGAAGTGAGTTTTTTTACCTGAATCGACAAAAGACTAAATAAAAGTATTAAATTTATTAATTAATTTGCGCTATTTTATTATTATCCCAATAAATTCTTGATAAGGCTGCTTAGTAAAAAATTTCACAAGGGAAGTATTTTTGTTTGAAACGATTTTGTATTGTAGACAAATGACGATGAAACATAATTTAAAAAGTATACTTAGTTCTTGATATTTCATTGAACGAATGATTAGATATTAGAATTAGATAGACCTGGCAGGAAATTAGAGTTGAATAACTATCTATAATATAATTAGTTAGCATAGTAATAGTTATCGGATACTGTTGCAAGAACAGCAGTGCCATCACGTGTAATCGTCCTGGATTCAAACGTTTGACAAAGATCCAATTGTTCAATGCCACGTCCGACCGGACGTCTTAGTTTATTGATTGAGACATTTATTAATATTTTATTACAATACTTCATATAATGAATAACGAGAAAATTATTGATAATTTTTTAGCATACATCATTACATGATTCATATGGCATCTACTAATACTTTAATACAATTCAACCTTTACTGATTAATGACACATTTATTGACACTTTATTAAAATACTTAGTTGAAAATTGAACATCTTTTTATATTTTGCTGTGAAATGGAGATGCCAAGGCTCGTCTCTGTTTCACCCATCACTCATAACTACCGATGCACCGTTTGCTCTTGTGGGTCATTCTAACCTATTTTAGCTCGGCAAAATAACGTGTTCAGTGCTTCGTACAGAAATTGTGTCTAGATTAGGACAACATGACCCGATGATTTGTCTGAATGTTTGACAGGCATGTCGTCGACGCGGTCTCAGGTGCACTCGGTGTCGGCGGCGATGGTGTCGTGCTCGTCTACCCTAACGCTGCCCATCCGCTGCCCTCACGCGCCCGCCCCTCCAAGGTTACCTCACGACCCTCACTCTTCAGCTCCTCGATCTGGCCTAATGGATCCTCTCAAGCTCTCAGCCTCTAGGATGAACACTAAAATTATTAGGACTTCTCATAAGTCGAACTCTGCGTCTCTGCTTCTTCAGCTCAACGCTGATAAAGAAAGTCAATCTGCAGGCAGCGCCGACGACCGTCTGAATTTTGACCGATCTTTGGTTAGGGGAACGGACATGAAGATCAGAGTTGGTGGCACACAATCCCTGGTAGTGCACCCTGGAGAGGGCAAGTTGGTAGAAGGAGGCGGTGTGGCGGCTTTCAGTTCTACAATGTCCCTTCCCTCGTGAAACTGGCTTCCCTCATCTATGTTGAGTTGACCAAACACTTACTGTATCACTGCTGTACTAGCATCACTTACTTTGTGCAGAACTAGAATCGTCCATATGAATTGATATTCGTTCTTATTAGGAATGGAAACAATGAGTAAAATAAGAATGTTACAATTGGCTGTTCGTCATGAACAGTGGAACTCTCTCTTATACTCGTACGAAAAATATGTGAAATAAACCTGGAATTCTGAAAAATCGGACATGTGTACGAACTTTTTCTAGAAATTAAAATCATCTCATCTTTTTCTCGGAACCGATTTTCTGTTTCTGCTTCAATTGTTCACTTTGCCGGTTCATTTCGTCATGAGCATCTTGTATTGTTTTTTTTTTTATTTATTTTAAGGATGAATGAAAAAACTACTTCAAGTGTTATTTGCCATTGTGATTGTACGTTAGATGCTTTTGGCATCGGAACCTTGTAACGCAACTATTGAAGCTTGTACGTAGTGGTACAACTGTCTATCGACATGTTGGTTGATGCCAAAATTTAATTTAATATTCGTTGTTCCCTTCGTGATCAAGCTCTTCATTGGTATAATAACAATGCCATCATTATAGCGCCATGTCATGTGAACCAATATTTCATGCTCTGTGAAACCATACGAGTACGTGCCATGTTCGTGATGCCTTTGATAGGTTAGAAGAATTTCAGTGAATTGGTTAATGTAGAGCCGAGCCCTTACTAAGTGATGCTCGTAATGGCTCCTTTGGTGACGGTTCTGGGAGTGAAAATTCTGTCAAATTATGAGTAGCAATTTCAAGTTTGATTTGACACAGGCTTATCAAGAGCCGTATAGCATTCAAGAGCTTCCGTTTGCTCTATCATTTGTATTCCTATTTCCAAAGTATCCACGCGTTTGGGTTGAAGAAAAACTTGCATTGTAACATGACGTAAGGGCAGTGCATGCTGCACGATCCTTCTTAACCCTTTCCCCACTGACGGGACTCACAAGTCCCGCCTCAAGTTTCACGCTCTAAAATACATACAACAAGGAATTTTAGGTCCAGGCACCTAACGGGACTCCTACGTTCGTTTATACACCTCAAGAAAATTACGAATTGGCAACCGGCTCACCCAGTGAGATTTCTAAGGCAATTGCATCAGCCGGCTGAGAATGACAGTAAGTTTCCTTTTTCTCTCAGAATATTCCATCATAACTGTTTATATTCAACATGGATTTAGTTACTTTTTGTTTTATTTTGTGTAAAAATTTATATTCTAACGAAATATAACAAATAAATGTATTTGGAAGACTGTTTTTGGTCTAAAAAATAGAAATTAGGAAAACGACCTGCAAGTCCCGCCAGGAGAACCGGGACCTGATAGTCCCAGTAGGAGTCGCGTGTCGTTTGTGATACTAGGTAGGAATACTACTGAGAATTCCAATTCTTACTGGTCCCATCGATTTCGTATTAATTTTTTTACACCACGGCACTTTTATGTTGTAACTTATTTTATTTTCAGACTTGAGCACTTCTTCCTGAAACATGGCCAATCGGTCATTGGAAGCCGATGAAATACTTCATCTGTAGGACGAAATTGATACTGACATTCACGAAGATACCGACATTGACTGATTGAGCCTGATGATCAAGACCCACAGAAACCATTCATATCGTGTACAGATTAGATGCGGAAGCCGAAGTTGAATCCATTATCATTGAATTGGATGTACAAGTCGAGATTATACCTACTGATGCAGCTTCTGAGACTCCAGTGATAGGTGTACATCCACGAAAATGGAGAAAAAAGAAGAAAAATCAATTGTCCATGAGTTTGTCGCGCATCCCAAACTAAGTCATGAATTTGCATGCGCCCTCGATGTTTTTCGCATTTTTTTATGAGAATCTTCTTGATATGATTCACTTCCAGACTAATTTGAAAAGTGTACAAAAGGGGAAGCCTGCTTCTGTGACAAAAAATGAAATAAACGTATTCATTGGAATCAACATTGTGATGGGCAGCATGGGCTACAATAGAAGAAATCAGCTCTGACATTATTGGTCCTCATCTCAAGATATGAGTGTACCTATCATTCAAGCAGCAATGTCTCGTGACCGTTTCGTTGAAATTCTAGGATGTCTGCATCTAAACGACAATGCAAAACTGAATGAAAAAAAGCACGACGTGTTATTCAAATTGAGACCGTATCTTGAAAAATTAAATGAACGATTTTCCACAGTAAATAATCCTCTAGAATTATTGTCTGTGGAGGAGTCCATGATCAAATTCAAGAGAAGGAGCTCTCTGAAGCAATACATCCCAATGTAACCCATAAAGCGAGGATACATATAATGGTGTCTCGCTGATAACTCTGGATACATACACAAGTTTTTCATTTATTGTGGAAAGCGGCAGCCAGGTGATGAAATGGTCAATAATAACCTTGGCCTTGGTGGAAACATTGTTACATCTCTTGCCGCATCATTGAAGAACCGCTTCCGCAAGCTCTATTTCGATAACTTTTTTTCATCTATTCCCCTGCTTGAAACCTTGAAGACCATGAACATAAATGCATGTGGTACAATCGTCCAACTCGCAAAGACTTCCCTTGTTATCTACTGATAAAGAATTGAAACGAGGAAACTTCGATTACCGCAGTACTCCTGCAGGAATAACAGTTTACAAGTGGAAGGATACAAAACCAGTACATTTCATTTCCAACTACCACGGAGTTGAAGCTTCTACTGTGCAAAGGAAGGACAAAACTGGCACAAAAACGGTCGTCACCTGTCCAATGGTGGCAAAAGATAATAATAAACACATGGGAGTGTTGATAAACATATGACATGCTAAGGCAAATCTATGGCATCAATAGGAAGAGCTTGAAATGGTGGCATCGCATATTCTTCGGACTTCTAGATATGACAATCGTGAACAGCTTCCTCATTCACAAGGAACATTGTCAATCTGCCATTTCCCTCTTGGACTATCGACAAGAAATAGCATGAGAACGCCTGGCATATACAGAACATTCATGCACCCATCATGCCAAGAGGAAAAAAGGAAAATTCTCGACACCGGACTCCGTGCGGTTGAGCATCCCTGGAAATCACTGGCCCCTGTTCACAAACATTCGTGGTCGTTGTGAAGTTTGTTCCCTGGATAAAGTGGAATCACGTCCATTATCCAAATGTTCTCAATGTAGCGTTCATCTTTGTTGCAACGTCAAAAAACTGTTTTGGCGAGTTTCACAAGTAGCTAGGGAAGCGTGCAAATGCGCGTGCGATAAAGGAAATATGATGTATTCAGTTATGATTTTATCTCACCTTGTCACATAAGCCAAAGTTATTATTCTACGTCATAAATTATTATTTCATTCAGATTATTTTTTTCTATATACTTACTGATAATAAATATCTGATTAGCTCTTACACTGTATCAATTGTATCAGCAGAGCAAAAAAATCAGCTACTTTTTATGCTGAAAAGCTATTATTTTATTTGTTTTTTTTTTGTGTTAATTCTGTAAGTAAAAAATGTTTACTGCAAAACGTGTTTTATTTTACATTATTATTGTTAATAAGTGCATATTGTACAGATCTTGGAGCATAATACAAGGGATCGCGTGTAATGGCTATATGATTATGTCATGTACCGGGAGCCCTGACGGGACTCTGGAGTCCCGGATCACTATTTTTTATATTAATTGATTTTTTTTATATTTTAGTAGCATAGAAACTATAATAGAGGTCCATAGAGTATAATTAACACAAAAAATACACATAAAATAACTTCCATCATATAGCCGGGTGGAAAGGGTTAAGAAATATTCGAGGAGAAAATTAAAAATTGTATTCATAAATGAAATTTATCATAGTTTTGCAATAAACGTAGAGTTGAAATATAATGGATTTTCAATCGAATAGAGGCAATACTAATTAATTTCACACATGTCTCTCACTTCGTCCTGCAGACAGATGGTACGGAAACTTAGAATCGTCGTAAAATAAGGAAATGAAAATCAAGTTTTATTATTAAATTCTTGTATTTGGTAACACAGGCTGAAATGTGATGTATCAACACGGAAAGCGTTTAAAGGGTTAACATTATAGCGGATTGAAGAAATCCTTTAATAATAAATCCTAGGCAAGTCTCAGAAATGTATAGTAGCTCCTTACGAGAGTGGCTGTTGTCTGAGCAGCATGCGCAATTCTTAAGATAAAACATAAACTCTCAAGCGCAGCGTGGGGGCTGTAGAGCCAGACTAATAGATAGCAAAGGCACAAGATTGAACCTCGAGACGTTGAAAGAGCCAAGCCAAGCCTAGCCTAGCGCGAACTCTCACAACGGAGCTGAAAATCTCTGCACTGGACAGTCTTCGTCCCGCACTCAACATTTCGGTCTCTGGCGGTCCGAGAGCAGACGTGACCGCAACATGAGCAGAAGATGTGACAGGCTTGAGCTCGCCGTCGTGCCCTTACTACGACGACGAAGCAGCTATGAAACATCTTCACTAATGTTACGTACACGCCCGTCCAGCGCAAAGAAGCGCAACACAAGCACAAAAATATACTAAGAAAAAACAGCTTTGGTTTAATAATTTCTTCAACGGCGGTCAAACATGTCAGCTCTTTAGATTTAAGTTCAAATCTTCAAACCGGACTGAATATTTTGCAACAAGGAAGAAATTGATAGGTAAATTGTTAAAAGCGACATCTGTTGGACCGCCGTAAGAAGTGAGACTTGCCTCAACAAGTTAGAAGCAGAAGTGACAAGGAGTGAACTGACCGCGGCTACATGAGGGAACATGCGAGGTGACTTGGTCAGCCCTTACGACGGCGCTGCTGCGACAATCAGAATATTTGCATTTAGAGGCTTCAGCAAGCGTAAACAGGAGCAACGCTGTTGAATCCTCTGATCACAACTAACATGGGGAAGTACTATCGAAAACAGTAACACCAATCACAGTTGAGAAATTGGTAGCTACGTGTAAGTAAGCGTGTTTAGATAGTACTGCCTGTGATCGCTAACCCAGCGTCGGCGCAGGGCAGCCGAGGGGCAGGGGGTGAGATCCTCAGCAAGGGCAGGATGCCCAATTAGACAGCTCCACCCGCCGCCCCACAGCAGGCCTCATCACCTCTAAGATTATAAGATTACATTGGAGGCACATATAATTGAGCTACTATAGGTTTAATATACGAAAATGTGATGAACACATCATTTATTGTTAGTGTGTTATTCAAAATAATTTCTTTCATTTTCGGCAATCGTTTATACTTAAGGAGTAAATAATCCGCTAGGTCGTTGCTGGCTTCGATGAGGCTCAAAATTTTAGAATTAATTACTCTAGACTTCGTTGCAGTTCCTAACCCATTTCCTTTTTCAAGATGTTGTTGCTACCAATGAATTTACTATCGTTACGTGACTCCCTTCCTCCCCCTGGAACAAGGAGGCTGTGCAGGTAGCGTTAACAGGTGAACTAAGTGATTCTATGCGCCTTCTATACGCTCATAATTCTACAGCGGCCACCAAAGTCAAGTAGATAGGAGGAGTTCTTGGACAATTTCATCTTATTTAAATAGAGGAGTAGAGAATATTAGGATGGATTATACGTTGTCTGATGCTAACCCGATATCGAAACAACGAGTATAAAAAGTATGCAAATTACTCCACGGTAATGAAATTGCTGTCGGTAAAGAGTTTGTAAATTTCCCTGCAACTCTGTGCTATGTTTGACAACAACTTAGGATCAAATGTTAGGACCTGTGAACTCCCCATAGCCTCCATGACTTTTATCTGTCCAGACTACAATCTTTTACATCAAGCAAGCACCGTTGGAAAACTTCTTTATGCATACACTTTATAGCAGTAAACAGCATCAGATGCGCAGTTACTCCGACATAACCCGGTATTGAGGCGTAAGTATGTTGGTTCTGAAGCGCCTCATGTGCGAGTTACTTTATAAAGCCACTGACGAGAAATGATCCACACCAGGTGCTAGCGCTCCGTCTAAACCGTCCCCTGAACAAAACGCAGACAATTCCCTAACGCCATAAGTTAATAACGGTTAAATGACTATCATAATGAAATTAAAACTAGCATCCTATCAGATTTTATTGTACAATTCAGAAGCTGCACAGCAGTGCCTAGATGCACGCTGTGTGGGGGCGCAATGCAGCTGTCTCTCGACCACTCTTGGACTCGTCAAGCCGATCCCGGGTTGCTCCGTCTGGACGATGATGGTACGTCATTTAGATTAAATTGAGACTCCGGTGATTCGTCAAGACAATGCTTAGAGTTTGGCAATGACAGCAGTCGCTTGCTCACCATAAAATTTCGTGTAGCTCTACGAAGATACTCTGCACCTTTAAATTCATAGAATGCCTCTGTTACAGCTTACCTACGAGTAGCGTATCTCGTCTTGTTATTTACATCGCCCCAACTGCGGCATTTCATGTAGCCAAGCAGAGAAGACCGCTCGCGCAGGAGGGGTTACATGGACAAGCATCTTTATACAGAAATATTTCAGGTTCTTAAAGTTATATCATTAGCATTTAAATTATTGCAATCAGATTCCGCTGATGCAGATTGCACTGATCACGCCTTCAGCGGTGCTTCTCATTCGGCTAGAGCCTGAGGCCTGCAAGCTTCGTGTGGTCTATGCAGCGTAGAGACAGAATATTTCTTCATTCATATTCTTGAGGCAGTAATCGAAGCTAGCAGAACTTTCTGATTTTCATGGCGTATCTTCCTTGATTCGTGTAGCAAGAAGTCCGAAGTAAATAAGTTGAGAATTGTTTTCTAGCAAAGTTAGGAGCGTAGAAACTTTTGCCCTAAAGTTAAGTAATGATCACAGATACGAGAAGTCGAGGCTAATCATTAGTAAGAAGATCAGAGCAAGTTGCTGCGGGAGCCCTGCTGATCTTCCGCACGTAAGGTGACTAGGAATTGGACCCGATTAAGGGGCGTGACGGCTTCCTCGATCCCTTGAGCAATAACGAGACGTTCATTATTCGTTAAATCAGGAGTGGAGTCACGTTTCTCGGAAGCAAATAGAGAGACTATATCTAGGTAACTAGATTTCTTAGGATAGATAATCAGGTGAGGGTTCAGCCAGGGGCTGAGGGGTAGTGAAGAGCGGGTTGGGGAAGCCAGCGGGGTGGGGGAGTGGGCCGCTGTGTTTCGGCTTGCTTCTGTAAGCCATCAGCCAGCACGACACCGCCACGGCTACCGCCACCAACGCCAACAGCGCCGTGATCACCAGCGCGATGATGAAGCCCCACTTGCTCACGCACACCTCGTCAGGGCCTGTCTGCACCTCTGCAGCCGAGACATGAGTGTTATTAAGTGATTCATGCTCCTGATTTTTCAAGAATTATTTATCTTATTGCGCATATTATCCAGCAATTACTTCGAAAAATGCAAAAATATAGAGAGAGCAAAATACAATAAATGAGCACAGAAACTGAGAGGTTTCTAACCGATCTGAAGTAGAAGTCGTTATGAAAAGGACGCTTCAATAACCGTATTTTCCAAAGGTAAACTCGACAAACTAAAATTAAACATAAGAGTTCAAATGTCGTGACTCACCTTGAGGCGCTGTGAGTCGACCCGTCCTGCTCTCGATGGTGAGTATGGACTGTGAGTAGACATTGATTTCCCTCAACTGGCTATCGTAAGTAGACTCGTCTTCAAAGAAAATTTCAGCGTCTTCTTCTGCAGCTTGACGCCTCCTTCGCTTTCCGAACGCATCATAGCCATCGCAGTTGACAGGTTGGCACTTGCCGAAACAAACGCGAACGTTGCACTGGAAGCGGATGGAGTTGGATGACGGGAACTTGAAGGCGTTGAAGTTAGCAACTAAAGCCTTGTCTTGGTCCAGCTGCCACTCCTCGAAGACTGCAGGATCACTGGCACAGCCTCGCTCGTCCGTTACTTGGTAGTCGATGTCTTCTCCATCGCCAGACGTCAGAGCAACGCAGCTGCGAGCGAAACCTCCATATATGTGAGAAGGTTCAACGATTACTCTGAGTCGCAACAGGTCACCTATTTCTGCTCTCGTGATGTCACCGCCGTACTGGTCAGTAATTTTCATGAGACATGTTGGAGGCGGGCCTGTGTTCGCAATGGTGCCGGCGGTGGTGAGCATCGACACGTTGAAGCCGATCGCGATGGTCTTCTCGCCAGTGTTGTATGTACACTTGATGTGGTAGGCTTGTGCTTTGTACGTCACCAACTTGGGATGTTTTTGCAGAACCAGAATAAACCGAGCAAGACCCTGGGAAAATTAAAATTTTGTATCAATATTTCAGTAAAGACATCAGTAAAACTATTTTATTCATGTAAAACTATAAAACATAAAAAATACGGCATCCTGAGTCAACAGGGAACGCGTCACTCACGTCTTCATGGATGAGTCCACACGTGTTGAATTTAACTTTGAAGTCGATGGTGCCGACATCGACATCAGGTTTGATGAGTTTACGGCACTCTTCATTCTTGGAGTATCCCTTGACGTACATGACGCCGTTGAAGCCTGGGTCTCCCACGTTTATATCGACCTGCACGCCGTCGGCCAGGCAGTTCACCACCATGTCCGGCCGAGGGAAGTCCGTGCGAGCAAATGTCGGTTCTGAGAAATATTAACAATATAGTGAAATGAAAAATTTCAGCCTATATAGTTGAAGAAACTTGGAAGACAACAATTAATGTGCATCTTTACCTGCATAAAGCTATAAAGCAATCGCTGGCTTCATTCTGATGAAAACATGTACCTAGATCATAAATCTATGAATAATTAAACGTATGGATCACTGAACGAAATGATCATCAAAGTCTCACTGCATCCGTTCTCCTTGTAAGGGTCGCCGGAGTATCCAGCGATGCAGACGCAGATGGCCGTGTGGTTGGCGTCGATGCAGAGGGCGTACTTGGCGCAGGGGTCGAACCCGCAGGGTGGGACGCACGCCCCTCGCTCGCACATGCGGTCTGTGCTGCAGTCTTCGTTACGCACGCAGCCAGGGGGCAGCGGCGGTGGGGTGCCCACTGAGAGTCGGAGACAGACGTGTTAAATGCACATGTGTGTGATGATTAAAGCTAATTTGTTTCCTTATACAGACGATACAAGCATCAAGTTGAAGCAACCACCAAGTTAATGTTAGATGGAAAATCTGTTGCGGAATAAATATTCTCAGTTTGACACGAGAATTGAACAATACTTCTCAATACCTTATAGCCTGCCAATACTCACAAACACAAACTCCGGCTTCGTCCTTAATCATGGGTATGGGACAATCACACACTCCCGCAGGAGTAACGATGTATCCTTTGGAGGGATCGCAGATGCAGAGACCATCATCGGTGAGGATGAAGCCGAGGTCGGTGCGGCAGAGAGCGCAGTTGCCGTTGTCGTCGACGTAGAAGCCGCGCTCATGAGGACAGTAGCACTTGCCTTCGTCGTCCATTATGAAGCCTTTCTCTATGGGACACACCGCCACTGTGGGGGACAAGCGGCATGATCAGGGCCCAGGGCAGCATGATCAGGGAAAGAATTGTTGACGTTTAAGAGAACGTGACAGAATAAATATCGGCGTGAGTAAGCGACACACGCACGAAACATTGTCAGTTTAACGATTTGTACTCAGCCTAGATTATCTCTGCCTCTGCCTTAGGAGGAGATCTAAAAAATGCTTTCGCAATGTGAATGGTCAATGTTAAATATGGCAAATAAAGCTGACTCAAGAAGCATCACAATGTTTATGCGTTCATTTCTATGTTTTATGTTCAACTTTGAATATTCTTGTCTCTGAACCAAGAGGATAAATAAAAATTTTGTTTACACGCTATACATTTAGCTATCAAAAATATATGGATTTTCGACGCAATAATGTACCCAAATATCAACAAATAAAATATAGCATATGATTTAGGAGCTCTGGCCTACAACAAACACTTATAAACAGGCAAGATTACAAAGTTAAAGTTAATTAACAGGCAATAATTCACAGGCTACCTTGACAAATTGATTCGAAAATATGATTTCCAACGAGAAACACTGCAGCATTAGGATCAAGTCTAAGAAATAACATGCACAACTGGAACAACTACTTGCATTACACACAATAAAACAGTTATTCATTCTACACAACACAAATGTTAATTACCATTATTAGTCACAATACAGCATAAATAATAAATTCACAATAATCATGACTGTTAATAAACAAGTGATAAAAAAATGCAGGCGTTAAAATAGAGCAGACTCATGCAGTAAGCACCAATGTCAAGTCCTTGGTTTCAACCTGAAACAAAAGAACAAAACATGAGATCATGTTAGGTATACGGTCTGGGGTCGCCATGCAGCTCATCATGTGGGAATAAACCAACATTAAATTAAGGTTTTCAACGAAATTTATTGAGTTAATTTCTTTGAACAACGTTGATTACGAACTGATTTCGTTGAAACAACATTTGATCAACGTTAGATGCCAGGTAAGAAGCAACTGCATGAAGTGATCATAATGAGGAACGTACGCATGACGTTCCTCATAATGAGGTACGTACGCATGACGTTCCTCGTAATGAGGTACGTACGCATGACGTTCCTCATAATGAGGTACGTACGCATGACGTTCCTCGTAATGAGGTACGTACTCATGACGTTCCTCATAATGAGGTACGTACGCATGACGTTCCTCATAATGAGGTACGTGAGGCGGGTTAATGCAGTACCATGCAAAATATGCCAGCAATACAAAACTACTCATTAGTATTGTAGCCAATTAGTAGAAGTAGATTAGTAACAAAAGCTGTCAACAAATATTTCAGAATGCAAAGAGGTTCGTCATTTATTGTATGGTGCATATTTTGTAAGCAAGTGCCGAAATTAAAAAAAAACTAACATAATAATTTCAACACTTGGCAGATGAGGAAGTTGAACAATTTATTTTTTTTGAAGATAGCAAAATCCAACATCAACGTAAGACTGGTTACTTCCAACAATTAGGTGCAGTGATGAAATTTCACTAGTAACATGAATGATGGAATTACACGAGTAGTAGCAAAGAAGGGATTACTCTGGTAACAACAATGATATCACTCTGGTAACAACTATGATGGCAGTACACGTGTAGTAGCACTGATTGTAATACTCTGGTAACATCAATTACTGTATTACTCAGATAACAATAATAACGGTATTACTCAGTATCCCTGCAGTCAACAGAGTGTAGTTCGACAGAAGCAGAAGTGGAGGTAATCTGTAGGTGGTAAACGTCAACATGCTGTTAAATAATTAAATGTCTAGTGTTATTTTCATGTCAATAAAGTCAAAAAACACAGTCTGTTCATGCACAATTGGTTACATATCAGCGGACTGTTTGATCAAGTAGAACGCGCCTAAGTCCGTTATCGATATTTTGCAAGAGAAAAAACACACACACAGTAAACAGCTCACGGAATAGCGATTTGCTCAAGAACAAAACATTTAAATAAATGTTCTATGAGAATCAAAATCGGTAACATTGAGATACAAAATTTCGACTAAGCAATCCAACGTAGCGATAACAGTTAAACGATACCACAAGCACCTCTCGTTACGAAAAAACCAATTAGTACGGCATGGTAAGCTGTTGTTAGTCATAAGCAACCTACTACCGCTACATTGTGCGTTAAAAAATTGATTATAAAGCAACAATAAGCCACTCACTCAAATGTATCTATTCTTCCTTATTGTCGCCCTTGATGTAGCTTTATTCTAATATTAAACTAGGCTCCTACCAAGAACCATTGGTTGGTAAGAATACCAGGGCGGCTAAATACCTGGGCAGCAAAAATACCAGGGTAGCAAAAATATCCGTGTAAAAAGATTCCCGGGTAAAAAGATTACCCAGGTAACAAGAATACCCAGGTATCAGAATACCCAAGCAGCAAGAATACCTGGGTAGCAAGCTTCCGCCGCATCGCCCTGGTATCCGGGCAAGCACTCGCAGGCCACGAGGCGGATGGGCAGCGTGTCCACCACGCGACATTCCGCGAATCTTCCGCACGGGTCCAGCGCGCAGAGGTCGATGCATTTGCCGTTCACGCACGCCAGCTGCGATGGGCATTCGGCATCCACGCGACAACCAACGATAACTGCTCAAAAAATAAGACACATGTTGGAAAAATCTAAAAATTGAAGCAATACAAAAGCAGTTAATTGTATCGAAAAATATTAGTAAACGAATGGATTTATTGTTTAGAAATGAAGTCATCAGGACAGTAAAAACACTTACGTTTTTCACATCCATTGTCAACTGTTCTGTTGAATCCAGGAGGACATGGGCAGACGGCCTCATGTCCTTCGACTTTGCATTCGGCAGGATCCAGACACGGGTCGTAAACACACGGGCTGATGCACTTCTGGTTGATGCAGCTACGTTCGTTGGGACACGCATCGTCTGACACGCAGCCAATTGCAATACATTGAGTGTTAGGGTTTCCTCGAGAGCCTGGAGGACAGATGCACATTGCTTCGTGGTTGACACCTTGGCACTCTGATTCCCGGCCACAGGGTTCGTTGTTAGGACCACACACAGGGACACACTTGGCGTTCTTGCATGCATGTGTGCCAGGACAATCATCGTTACTGAAGCAGCCAATGTCATAACAGCCAACCTCCGGGTCGCCTTCATATCCTTCTTTGCAGGTACAAACGGGGTGGTGCTCAATTATTTCGCAATTGGCGTTGGCTCCACATTGACAGGGATCTTTGCAGAAACCGTTGATGCAGGCTTCCTTGGGAGGACACTGCTGGTCAGCCTCACACACGGGCCTGATGACGGGGACGAGCTCACACACACCGTCTTCTTTCGTCACTTCGCTGTCGTCGCACATGCACGACATCGTTCTCATTGGCTCCGTGTCGATAACACGGCAATTCGCGGTATCGTGGCAAGGTTCGAAATGATGGCAAGGATTTTTGCATTCCTCGTTGATACAAGCCAGCTGAAGAGGGCACTCGCTGTCAACAGAACAAAGGGGGTGCTGAATCGGCAGACACTCGATATTCGGGTCTCCGGCAGTTCCTGCAGGACATCTACACTTCGCTGTGTGGTCCAGGGATACGCATTCTGCAGTAGGAACGCATGGGTTATTCAGGCAAGGGTCCGCACACTGTTCATTGACACATCCATGATTCGGAGGACAGTCAGAATTAGACCGGCAGCCAATGATCAGACACTCGTTGTATCCGTCACCTTTAAGTCCTATGGGGCAGCGACAGTAAGCGCGGTGTCCTGTGGCGTAGCATTCAGCATTTGATGCGCATGGATTGTTCACAAGACACGGGTTAGCGCAAACTCCTTCATAGCAAGCATGATCATCAGCGCACTCGGGGTCGACTTTGCAGCCAATAGGGAAGCAGCCAACATCAGGAGTTCCTAAGAAGTTCACTTGACAGGTGCAGATGGCGCGATGATCGACAATATCGCAGTCAGCGTTGGGACCGCATTCGCATGGATCTTTGCATTGTTTGTTGACACAAGCTTCAAGTTCCCCACAATCACTGCTTGATCTGCACTCAGGAGGCGGCATCAGGTCGATCAGCTTGCAAGTACCATTCAGCTGAATGAGGTAACCTTCGGGACACTCACACACCATAGTGCGAACGGGCAGTGAGTCAACCACTTTACACAAGGCACTCTTGTCGCACGGTTTTAGTTCAAAGCAAGGGTTCCGACAGTACTGGTTAATGCATGCAAACTGAGACGGACAGTCACCGTCAACGACACATTGAGGCTTCACGTCGGACATAATTGGTCTATCTTCGCACATGAGACGCGGGTCGCCGAAGGGGTGACTGGATGGGCACCTACAGCCGGCAACGTGCTGATAGACGTAACATTCCGCATTAGGGGCACAGTCATCGGTGTGTGGGCACGGGTCGATACACATTCGATTGTGGCACGCCTTGTCGGTCGGGCAGTCCGAGTTTTCTTTGCAGCCAGCGACGTCGCAGCGCACAAATGGATCTCCCACCATACCCACTGGACACCTACATTTGGCTTGATGAACTTCAGGATAACATTCTGCATTGATAGCGCAGGGATCCTTCACGTAGCAAGGGTTGACGCAGACGCCATTGTAGCACATCTTGTCTAGAGGACACTGTTCATTAGCAGTGCATCCAACTGCACAGAGATTTTTAGCCGTGTTAGTAATTTCAATCGTTAAATTATATCATCAACTATTACATTTTCAGCTGTTCGAATTCAGTTTCATTATCAAATGCAGGAACATTACCTTTGTAGCATCCAGTAATGGGGTCGCCCTGGAAGCCTTCACGGCAGACACAGAGCGGTCTGTGGTCGACGATGGTGCATTCGGCGTTCTCCCCACAGTTGCACGGCACGACGCACTGGGTGTTCACGCACGCCCGGTTTGAGGGACAGTCGCTGTCAGCGCGGCATCCCACGCTGATGGGGATCTCGACTAAAAGTAAGAGGTTGAAGCATTAAAATAATGATAATATCATGGAGTGTTGAGGCCTCCTTAGGAAGTCCTGTAGGGAGAAGTTTTAAAATGTTATGCTAGTAATTAGTGCATGAATATCTGGCCATTACTATGCGAGTAGTTATAATGTGTTATTGAGTCACATTAGCAAGAATGAATATTAGTGATGATCTGTTGAAGAAATTGATATTTTATGAGACAAAATGCCTTGCTTACGTTCTGAGCAGATGTCCTTCTCTGATACCACCATGAGGGCAGGACACTTGCAAACCATAGTGCGGATGTTAGTCGAGTCAGCAACGGAACAAACCAAAGGAGCATCGCAAGGCTTGAGCTCCTCGCAGGGGTTCCTGCATTGCTTGTCCATGCACACGAGTCCTTGCAAGCAGTCGAAGTCAGACAAACACCTGATGTCTTGTTTAGGGACGCAAGCAACGTGAGGGTCACCTCGCTGTCCCTCAGGACACGAACATGAGACCACATTATTCTTGACCGAACAGAGAGCGCCTTTGCCACACGTGTTGTTGTGAGTGCACAAGTCTTTGCATTGGTTATTGCGACACATGTAGTCGGAGGGGCATTCACTGTTGACTTTGCAGCCGATAACTGCACAGCCTTTGTAAGGATCGCCTTGTCTGCCATCGGGACAGAAGCAGCGAGCCTCGTGATCCTGAGGTCTACAGTCAGCAAACAGCGAACATTGGTTGTCCACGAGGCAAGGGTTCACGCAGTTGCCGTTGTAGCAAGCCTTGTCGTTAGGACATTCCGACGTCGTCGTGCAACCGACTGGTTAGAAATTAAATAGGGGTTAGATTCTTACTTAAACGTTAGCATTTGTTTTAAAAGAGGTGAATATTAATTAATCTAAGAGTTGGTGGTAAATTGAAAAGTCACGTGTTATTAACCGAGTTATTCATATTAAGAGAGTAAATTAAAATAATAATTTCAAGTATAAGAATCGAGATTAACAGAAATATGTTAGGTGGATCATCAGTAAAATTCTTCTGAAACGTGGCACACAATTAAATCCACAGAAAATGGCACGATCAAACTGCAGTTTGCACTCGGCGATCAAAATGGCCTCGATCGTGCAGGTCTTACTGGCATAACATGCGTGTTGAGGGGAGCCTTCGAAACCCTTCTTGCAGGTGCAAGTAGGTCGGTGTTGCTTTACAGTGCAAATTGCACCGTCACCGCACTTGCACGGGTCACTGCATTGCCCCGACAAACATGCTTTGTCATCAGCACAGTCATCATCTTTCTGGCAGAGGTCGTCAGTTCTCGAAGCTGTTGTGACAGTTATTGGATTAGTTTAAAGTGTAGATAAGTTCTCTGTGAGAGATTTCAATTAGTACCGGTATCATATTAATAAGTCATTATTGTTAGAATTGTTCGATTAGAGGAGGAATATTAGTAAACTTACTAGGTAGACATTGAATGAACGCGTCTCCCGAATATCCTTGTTTGCATTCGCATTTTGTTGACTTGAAGGGTAGAGATTCAACTACAGTGCAAACTGCGTTGTTGCCGCACGGCTTCGCGTCACAAGGATTGCGACACTTGCCGTTCAGACATGCGGTTCCAAAGTGACAGTCTGCGTCTAGTTTGCAGCCAGCGACAACATCAGATCGGGTGCAGATCTTGTAAGGGTTGCCCTCATAGCCTGGCAAACAATCGCAAGCTCCGCCTCGGTTCTTTACAGTGCATTTGGCGTTGGCAGCACAGGTAGTGAACAAGCAAGGATCTTTGCAATTGCCTTCATAGCAAATGAAATCATTGAGGCATTCGAGATCAGCTCTGCAACCGACAGGTGTACACTCAGAATACGCATCTCCAGTGTAGCCAGATGGGCACCGACACTTGGCTTGATTTTGTACGACGAAGCACACAGCTCTAGAGCCGCAGGGGCTGCGTAGCTCACAAGGGTCAGTGCAATTACCGTTGATGCATTGAGTGGTTAGCGGACAGTCCGTGTTGGTTGAACATCCAGCTGTTAATGGCACGCAAGAAAAATTAGTTGTGCAATTAGAAATTAATCAAGTATTTGGAAAATGGTGAGTAATTTTATAGAAATGTTATAACGAATTAATGACTACAAAGAGCAAATCAGTATGCGCATTATTACGAGTAGGTTATTGTATGTGGTTAGCTCACATATTCTGCACTCGGTGTTAGGGTCTCCAATGTAACCAGGAGCACAAGAACAAACAGGTCTGTGGTTGAGCACATGGCATGTGGCGTCTTTGCCGCACTGGCAGGGACTATAACAAACGCCATCCAAACAAGCCATGTCGTCGGAGCAGTCAGTGTCCCGAGTGCAAGTCTCGCGTGGACCAGCAATTTCTATTCAAAACAATCATCAATTAACATGGGTAACTCTGGAAGGTAAAACGATTATATTGCATATAACACTGATTAGTAACACACATCATTGACAAAACACGAAAACAAAAAACGCAAACTTGAAATCAGGAAAGACAGGGAAAGAAGAATTGCAAATAAAATAAAAAGGTCATACTTTCAATGCAATGTTGCCTAGCATCGCCAGAGAATCCCTGAGGACACGTGCAGACGACAGACTTGAAGGGTAAGGCATCAACAACATTACATAGAGCATTGCGTGCACATTGGTAATGCTCCGAGTCGACGTTACAAGGGTCCGTGCACTGTCCGCGCTTGCAAACCCTGCCCTCCTCACAATCTTTATCAGATAAACATGCAGCTTCGATTCGGGCATTACAAGCATCCACAGTCTGCTTATCAGCTGGCAGGAATGAGCAAGGACATATGGCTTCGTGATCTACAACACTGCACAGTCTTGCGGAACATCGCCCGTTATTTTCACATGGGTCGTAACACTCATTGTTGACACACGCTAGGTGGTTAGGACAGTCTTGATTCACTTTGCACCCCACAGCTAAACATTTTTCCAGAGGATTTCCAATTGTTCCAGTCGGACACTGGCACTGGGCCTTGTGTTCGTTCGAGATACATTGCGCAGTGTCATCACACGGGGAGTCGTGGATGCAAGGGTCCACACAGGTGCCATTATCGCAGCGACGATCCAGGGGGCAGTCGAGGTCGGCTCGACACGCACCTGAAAGCCGAGGATGAAAATAAAAACTGGTTACCACAGCACATATGATAATGGAGTACAGTTTATTTCTTTAACATTTTTTCAATTGTCTGAGTGAGTTTTCTCGACAGAATGAATGGCGACTTACCTTTCTGACACGATAAGTTTGGATCTCCAAGATAAGTTGGCAGGCAAGTGCATAGAGGCTTGTGGTCGACGAGCTGACACTTGGCGTTCACACCGCAATTGCAAGGGTCCCGACACAAGCCATCGATGCAAGCTTCGCTAAATATGCAGTCCGAGTCTCTTAGGCAGCCTCCTTGAGATGGAACTGAAAACCGCGATAAAATGATAAGTTAAAATTTACTTCGCTCACTAAAAAATTTTTAAAATATAGTTCAAACTTCAAGTTAAAATTTACCGCGTTCAACGACAAAACAATGAACTACATGTAAAACTATTGACATCAATTGTATTATTAACATTATGCGCACACACTCGAAGTAAAAAACACCTCCAACCCAAAATTCACCCACCTTTGCGGCACTCAATCTTGGCGTCTCCATGATATCCCGGCGGGCACGCACAGCTGACGGTGCGCCGAGGTTCAGTTTCTAGGACTGTGCAGACGGCGTTGTTGGCGCACGGTTCTCGCTCGTGGCAAAGGTCGCGACAAATGGTACCACTTGTCTTGTCATCAAATCTAATATAGACCGACGATACTTTCGAGTGGTATTTGACAGGAGTTCCTTCATAAATGCAAGCGTATCCATTAGGACAATCTCTGTCACTGGCGCACCCGGTCAAGTTTGCTACAGGTGTACATCGGGTCAACGGATCTCCGGTCATTCCACGAGGGCATCGGCAAACTGGTTCGTGGTTTTCCACTTGGCACTTAGCTCTGTCACCACAGAGGGAAGCATCGCTGCAGACGTTGACGCAGGCTCTGTTGATGCAAGCCTCAGACACTGGACACTGATTATTGGTCGTGCATCCTACAGCAGAACACATCACCATAGGGTCGCCCTCTGTACCAAGGGGACAGCGGCACGTGGCTTTGTTGTTCCTGGTGTAGCATTCAGCTGTGGCCGGGCACAGGTTGTTTCGCTTGCAGGGGTCAACACACACGAAGTTATCGCAGCTCTTATCCTCAGGACAGTCATTATCTTGGTTGCAGTCAACTGTTGGGAGGGAAGAGTGGAGAAACATTGGTGAAAGGGAAAAAGCTAGAAATATCTCGTCAGAAAAGTAGGTAAGGTTTGTAATCTTTAAATGTATGAAGCCAAGTAAATTCCTTAAAATACAAATTCTCAACGTGCGAAAAGTCAAGGTTTGATCCGGTAAAATTGTAATCCCAGAAAAACTCATACTCACTCTTATGACACCCAATTTCAGGGTCTCCGGCATAATTATTCCAGCAGTGGCAAACTGCTCGGTGGTCAGAGACCGAGCAGGAGGCGTTGACGCCGCAGCCTCCAGGGCAGGGATTCACGCAGTGACCGTCAGCGCAGGTCAGTTCCAGCGGGCAGTCTTCGTCGCCATCACAGCCAGATTTTGGTTCAATAACTTCAAAGAGAGAAAAGAAAAATTGGGAATCAATAATTCATTTAACATTCATTATGTATTAAATATCTAAGAAAATCTTTCGTTTAAATCTTTTATGGTTATAATCAGTAATTGCGACTTAAATTAATCAATATCATCAATATTGATAATAATCAATAGCTTAATGAACTATGAATTAAATATTTTAGCAACTATGTGTCGTGTAAATCTTGCGTGGTTTTTAACTGTAACTGCGATATTGAACAGGAAGAGCTAATAACATACCTGGTCTGCATGCTGTGCGCGCATCTCCATCGTGGCCATCAGGGCAGCTGCAAGCGACTGTTACAGAGGAGAGTCGGGAGAAGGCCTTACAAAGACCATTTTTTCCACACGGCTTCAGAGTTTCGCAAACATCGAGGCACTTTCCGTCAATGCAGCCCAGAAGGTCAGGACAATCGCTGTCTTCATGGCAGGCGGGAAGCTTGGGTCGTTCGCAGAACCTCCTCGGATCGCCAGTGAAACCTTCTCGGCAAACGCACGTCGCTTCGTGGTTCATAACCGCGCATTCGGAATTCTCCACGCAATGGAAGTCCTCGCAAGGATCTTTGCATTTATCTTCTTCGCACCTCAGATGATTGGGACATTCGTTATTGTTGCTGCATTCTTTCAAACTGCATTCGATGTAAGGGTCCCCCGAATACCCGACCGGACATTCGCAACGGAAGGAGTCGGTGGTGGGAGAACAGAGAGCGTTCGAACCACACGGCTTCTTGGCGACGCAAATGTCAAGGCAATGCTCGTTGATGCACGCTGTTGAACTTGGACATTCGCTATTACTCTTGCATCCCACTGCACAAATAGAAACAATTTATTAAAACGAATTTAAAACCATGTTCTTGTAAACATTTCATACCTAATAATTTTTATATATGAAAGCAAGAAGGATTTTTTGATTATTTTCATTCCTAACTTACCTGGAGAACAAAGAAGTTGAGGATCTCCGCCATGTCTGAGAGGACAAACGCACACGGGCCTGTGATCCTGGACTTGACAGGTGGCGCCTTCACCACACGAGCCATCGACACAAGGGTTTGAGCAACGACCATTCTTGCATCCTTCAGTCCACGGGCAATCGCTGTCTGAAGAGCAGCCCGATGGAACGCGCGCTGCTAGCACGCATTCATCAAACGGGTTGCCAACATAGCCTTTATTGCACTCGCATATCATCATGGCATCGCCGTTCTTGTGCGTCATCCTACAGGTGGCATTGAAACCGCATGGTTTCTCGTCGCACATATCTTTGCACTCGTCGACCATGCAGGCTAGGTCGTTCGAACAATCCGCATCAATGACACATTCCGACAGTTGCTTGCCTGGCTTGGGTTCACACTTATCGTTGTTCTGAACGAAACCATTTTCACATGTGCACAAAACTCGGTGGTTGATAACATCGCACACTTGTGTTGGCCCGCAAGGATTCTCAGTTTTACACGGGTTAACACATTTACTGTTTATGCAAATAAGAGAATCAGCACAGTCTGAATCTAGAACACACTGAATAGGATAACATTCACTGTAGGCGTCACCAGTAAAACCTGGTTGACACACGCACTGACTAGCATGATTATCTGAATGGCACTGTGCATCAGTAACGCACTTATTGTTTATAGTACAGGCATCCTCGCAGCGACCGCTGATGCAGATGCTATCAAAGGGACATTCGTTATCAGTGGAACACTCAGCCTCCGTACAGCGGGAGGTAGGATCTCCGGTGAATCCTGGAGGGCAGTAACACATGGCGCGATGTCTGATGACGCGACATAGAGCACCGCTCCTCTTGCAGGCTTCGTTCCGGTCACAAGGATCTATGCAAGTTCCGTTAAAGCAGTGCAGGTCTTCGCTGCACTGCATGTCGTTTTTACACTTCGGTTCTGAACTTATGTCAGCTGAACACTCAATGTAAGGGTCGCCAATGTATCCTGACTTACATTCACAGTAAACTGACTTTCGAATGCCAGCTTTGTTAACCAGGCAGTTTGTGTTGTCACCACAAATGTTCATGTTTGAACAAAGTTTCTTACAATTACCACTGAAACATCCTTCATCGTCATCGCATTCAAGATCATTCAGACACCGTGGTTTGTCAAACTCTTTGCATGCAACGTATGGGTCACCAGTGAGTGTTTTCGGGCACGAGCAGATGGGGGATCTCTTGATCATTTCACATTGCGCCCGAGTTCCGCAAGGTTTGACTAATTCACATAGATTTGTACACCGGCCCTGATAGCATGCAAGGTTTTCGGGACAGTCTTCTGACACCCGACAAGCAGGGATATCACATGTTTTTTCGAGCAAATTAGCAACGCCTTCCTGACACGTGCACTGTGGGAAGTGGTTTTGTGGGGTGCAAGTGAAAGAGGGCGGGCAGGGTCTACCGAATGAGCAAGGATTTCGACACACGCCATTGAGGCATTGTTCGGTGGGCAAGCAGTCCGTGTTAACGGAACAGCCAACTGCAGTAAGTAATAGAAATGTTTTACTGGACAGACTTTAGTAACGGAAGGTAAGTTAGCATACGTCTATTAATCACACTATATCAAAAGTCGAAAACAAGATAATATAAAGAACAATTTAAGGATTCAGTCTTCAGAATGTCAGTACAATAATCTGCTAAGCATGAATATAGAAGTTGCAACAGGTGTTTGAGACTCCACGAATTTGGGACTTTTTGGACGAAGCTTACTTTTGGTGCAAGCGTCGACAGGATTGCCCGCGGTTTGAGGCGGGCAGGAACAGATCGGTCTGTGGTCCACCACACGACAAGATGCGTGGGGAGCACAAAAATTGAGACATGGAGGCCGACATTGTCCTCCCTGACACCATAAGTTGTTGGGGCACTCAGCATCACTTAGGCATTCAGCCGTGGCATTGATGTTAACGCGAGCTAGTTAGGTACAATGCCAGTTATTAGTGATAATGTCAGCTATTAAGCCAAGCTGACTGCTCGAGTAGTAAATGCGTATATATACGTCTTTATTGTCAAACAAAAAGTTCAAGAAAGATAGTTAGTTCAAGAGAAACAAATGTAAAGATAAAAGTCGAGGGAAAAATGCTCGATTGGACTCCTTGAGTGAAAATTGAGTGTTCGTAACTTTGCAAAGTCATAAACTCTCTCAAAGAAAATTTTTAGATTTTTTTGATAAATATAATAGAGGAATCGAAAATAAAAGTACAAAATGAAGAAAAAGTGGACACCAAGAAAATTTTTGTGGCCTTTCTGTTTAAAAAATCAACTGCCCTTGGTTTTTGATAAGATAACATTAATTTTGCTATTATAATGCCACGAAAATGCAACAAAAAGAAAAAAAAAGAAAAAGGACCCGTTTGGAAATAATATATAAATGGTTTTAAAAATAAAGGACTATTTAAGATGGGTTTCGGGATAATTGAGTGGAAATTTGCAAAGTCTAACGAAAGGGTTTGAGGTTTGACACACAACAAGGGTTGAAAAAAATGTTAAAGCACATTTCACTGAAACGTATCCAAAACGCGGTAATGTTTGTAAAAGTAGAAGACAGCAAAACACAAGTCAATTAGTGTTTCAGTGTAAACGTATCCAGAGATGGTAATGTTTTCCAACGTACAGGAAGAAAGCAACACTGTCACACAAGATGTTACTTAACACTACACATGCACGCAACACTTGTTGCGGGGGACGACGACAAGGATAATACAAGATGAATCACAATTACGAAGATAGTCTTCAGTTCAAATATATGCTTGAGTAGTTATTAGTGAACAATGATGAATGTTACAGTATTTTACTGGCCAGAGTTTAGTTGCGGTGGTAAAATAGGTATTAGAAAATTCTTAGAAGTAAAGTAAAAAAAAAAAAAACAACGGAATCATGAAACGAAATCACAAGTACTTTGCAATGATCAAGTTCATGAGACCATGCAGTCATAAGTACAATATTCAAGAATACTTACATCTTCCTTATGCCTTTTTCTAGGAAGCTCGCTCGTAAATTTCGTGCAATCAATTGCTTATTAGAAAAAATTCTCCAGTAGTATATATTTGAAGCTTCAATATGCTAGATACAGTCATGATACAGTGCATTAAAGACAAACATGAAGACAGAGGAACATCTGCAAAAGAACAGCAAGAAGACCAGAATACTCACGTAGGGAGCACGCGATCTTGGGATCTCCCGTGTATCCTGGAGGACACGTGCACTGAGGTACGTGGTCACGCACGATGCAGAAGGCGTTACGTGCGCATGGGTCGTGCACGCATGGGTTCACGCACAGTTCGTTGATGCAGGATTGCGTGTCAGGGCAGTCGTCGTTACTCGAGCACTCGGGCACCGGCTTATCCAGCACGGGGGGACCTGCAACAGAATTGACGTAATTATTGTACGGCAATTTGCAAGGGATACTTAATACCTCTTAACGATAATTTTCAAGACCTAAATTGAATTCAGTTCGGAAATGACAGAAGGAAAGGCGTTCGTATTGCTTTGACCTGAGCAAATTCACGTCAGGTAACTTCAACTCCCTCATTTATCTGCATATGACCCACAGTCTATGAATAAAACATTTCGTTATTGCGAATACGGAGGCGTGTAATGCGCTGTGTCACTGATATAATTTTTCTCCGTATTCGATGAGCTTCAAGTCCACAAAAAAAATAAATTATCTCTCCCACCCCGAGACAGCGACGCCACTCACTCCTGCGACACGCGACGTAGGGGTCGCCGATGAAGCCCGGCGCACAGGTACAATATCTGGTGTGTGCCTCAGGCGTGCACACAGCGTTGGTGCCGCAGCTCTGCACTCGACACACTTTTCTGCAGGTGCCGGCGTCGCAAAGCTCGTCTGAGTCGCAGTCACGGTCAACTTGACACTCAGGGACAACCGCTCCTGCAAGATAACAACGCTTTGTCCTACTGTATCGGGATATAAATTGTGTTGAGGCGCCCTGAAAAAATCCTGGAGGATTACGGAAAAATTTGAACTTATTGATATTACATTCTCAGTCTTGACGGGAACGATCCAAGTTGATGGTTTCATACAGAACTAGAGGGGCTGTACAATAGAGAGGTACCTCTGGGTCACTAGGAGAATTCGTAAAACAGCTAGAGCTTAATTCTAGAGCTAATCGCACTAGAGCCAAAGGAAATTTGAATTGAATCTAATCAGTCCACACAATGTTGAAAAATTTCACACTATAACATCATAAATTTTGTTAAATCTGATAACATTAACGAAACATACCGAAACACATGTCCTCTCGCAATTACAATTACAAGGAAATCTGACCCAGCGTAAGTACGTACCAGGCCTGACACAAGCGCCTCCCTCCATGAGTATTTGGTTGGGGGGACACTCGCACACCATGGTTCTGAGCGGTTCATCGTCCACGACCCTGCACTGCTGCTGGTCAACACAAGGAGACTCTTGAGCACAAGGGTTCACGCAGAGGGCATTGATGCAGGCGTGCTGGGAGGGACAGTCGCTGTCGCGGCGGCACTCTGGCTCAATGGGCGGCAGCGTCGAGGGGTAGTCTACCAGCGGCGCTGATCACAGCCAAAATCACAATTAGTTTGATTTATTATTAATATTAGTACGGAAAGCTTAAGCAGGAGAATAAAGTTACAATAGCAAAATCGTGTGCATTTTGGTTCTAAATTATTATCTTTCTGAAGACCGCGCTAAGTATTTACAAGAAGCAAATAGGAAATGATATTTTAAATCACGTTGCAGTTCAACAAAATATTATCGCGATTGACAAGGAATGAAAATGTACGTTAATTAATACAAATTCGCACTAAAAACAAAATGTATCGTTTTCAAAGTTACTGATCACGAGAAAATTATATGTATTGTGGAACGCACGTTGAGAGCAGTGACGGAACGGGTTGCCCGAATATCCCGGAGGACAGAAGCAGGTGGCGGCATGATTCCTAGCCCTGCACTCGGCCCCGACAGCGCATGTGGTGGTCGTACAGACCGGTATGCAGACTCTGTTGAGTCGATCACAAGCTCTGTCATCCGGACAGTCATCGTTAGAGCGACAGCCGACGGTGATGCACGCTGTCAACGGGTCTCCCTGCATGCCGACGGGGCAGTAGCACTGAGCGCGGTGCATGATGGGACGACACTTGGCGTCTATGCCACACGCTGGTCCGTTGTACGTACATGGATCAACGCAGTGCTGGTTGATGCACGCTCTCTCAGATACACACTCTGAATCCTTGGTGCAGTCAGCTGTAACATTCAAAGGCGCATTAAAACAACATTCTTACCTTCTCTCTACACGCCAAAGCGCCGAAAAGCTCCATGCAGGATTAGTAGCGTAGCGATGACACTTCCATCGAGCGGAGGTCTTTCACGCGATCAAAGATGTTAGTGCTTGTGGTTCACAGAGGCAGATGACACATTCATACAAACGCTGTAAGAGACAATTATATTCCTGATGAAAACTATTATGTTACGAATGCTCACGTTTGAAGCACTCCTCTTTGGGGTTGCCGGCCCAGCTTGCAGGACAGTAGCACACGGGTCGGTGCTGCTGCGTGCGGCAGAGGGCGTTCTTGCCACAAGGGTCCTCTACGATGCAAGGGTCGGAGCACGCTGCGTCGATGCAGGCTCTGTCCGTGGAGCAGTCTTGATCGATGGTGCATTGAGGCTCAGCCGCCGGAACTGGAAGAATCGAGCTTGTTACCTTAGCGACTTATTGCATTTTTTATAGGGAATAAAAAATAAAAATAGTTGGGATAGTTTTACTTTGCCTATAGCTGGCAGGGAGATAGAATAATCGAAAAATATTAATGAGCACAGCTTCTGATGTACGTTATGGGTGAGAAGAAAAACACTCACTCAGATAGCAGTTAACATTGGCGTTACCAATGTAGCCAGGTGGGCAGGTGCACTTCGGCTTCTTATCTATCACCTGCAAGAAAAAAAATCATTGAATTACAACGTTTATATTAAAATTAATTTAAATCTGTCAAAAGAAGCCAATTCAATTACGGAAAAGTTTGAAGGCTTTTTTTGAGAGCAAAGGTCAGGATCAGACCACAATATAAAGAGTATGATATTATTTGAGTAGTTAGGCAAATAATCAGATATATTAAAATAGCAATATCGCATCGTGGAGCGCAAAAATTCTGATAATTCGCATGGGTACCACGATACAATAAAGAAGCAAGAATAAAAATACTCAAAATGTAGACAACCCTGACCCAGAGAAATTTTTTAATAAGGCCACGAAGCAACGCAATAGTACCTCGCAAATGGCCTCAGGAGCGCAGGGTTTGAGGACCGAGCAGAGGTCGAGACATTGTCTGTTGCGGCACACTTCGCTCACGCCGCACTCATCGTCCGACGTGCATCCAGCTGGATCTCTCGGCTCTACATGCACACGAAACTTGCAGTAAAATAAAACACACAAGAGGACCTTTCTACGAGAATAACGTAGTCCAGAAAAATGAATAGATTACAATTTACAATTTGCAGGAACATGAGCCGACGATCGATGTTTTAAGAAATTAATCCGATTCTGGAAACATGAATCACCGATGAAGGTATAGGGAATCATTGAATGTTAACAGAACATCGATCATCGGTTCATGGTTCAGGGAACGAAAAAGGTCGAACATAAGCCATTGTTCAGCATTACCTCTATTGCACGAATTACTATAAACACTTTATGTTAAACCTAACTAAATTCGTTTACAGTTCGCGGTTCATTCATTGGACATCAAACAACAAAAAAAAATAAACTTTGTCTAAAAAAACTACGGAAACGAAGCGTTTGGCGATCTTGAAACTGGGGTTAGTCGACCTGCTTAGTAAACAGAAAAAACATAAGTTAGAATTAGTAGAAACAACTAACAATAATATCTCATTATTATTTCAAGCGAAAATTAATATTCCAATTGATGTTACCCTAGAACAAAATGGCGAGTACTCACTCAGTCTGCACTCTTCGTAGGCGTTTCCGATGTGGTCTTCTAAACAGACACACGTCATGGTCCTGTATGGCAGAGTGTCTACCACACCACAAACGGTGTTGCGGCCGCAGGGTTTGATCTCAACGCACGGGTCTTTACAGACTCCTTGGAAGCACGCTGTCTTGCTGGGACAGTCGCCGTCTGTTTCACAGTCTGCCGCAGGACGGCCTTCTAAAGGAACTGTACCAGCAGACGGGAGGAATAAGCGTTAGCAATAGTATAGTGGTATCGGCGCTTAATAGTATGTCAAAAATAAGGGATGAATTAACGGCAAAGGCTTCGAAGTGGATCTCAAACCACTGTTGAACACTGAATTTGGCTGCAATTGACTTGTGTCAACGAGGAATATCATTAATTGCGTTGAAAATAGGATATCAATCACACGTACAGTCAACAACAACTGTACGTATGTCAGCACACGTACAGTCAACAATCGAAAAAAGAGAAATTGATGTAGTATCTCTTAGATACTTTTTAAAGCGCATTGAAAACATTTATTTTTGCGAACATGTACACCAACACCAAGTGGAGACTTTGAATAAAAAATTTTAATAAAAGTAGGTAAACATACGGCGGCATGAAAAAAACTAAAATTAAAGTTTTCTGTAATTTAGCCTTTGCTGCATCACGCTTACACTTCAGCAAATAAAAAGAAATAAATCAATAAGTAAATTTTGATGATATTAGAAGAGACGCATCACAGAACAATCAACTGACGAGGTGAGCACTGGACGTGTGGGTCGCCCGTGTGGTCCAGTGGGCAGGAGCACTGAGGTCGGTGGTTGATGACCCGACACAGCGCCCCGGGTCCACAGTTGCACGGGTCATTGCACTCTTGTTTGATGCACGCCAGCCACGAGGGACATTCAGGGTCGCTCTGGCACTCGGGTCGGCTACATAGTACGTACGGGTCACCCTGGGAGCGAATTAAAAATATTACATCAGTTTCAGTTGAAAGTATATAAATTAATAAGTGGTCATCATGGTAAAGAATCAATCGAATCGAATTACTTTTACTTTAAAAATGCAGAAATTAACTATCACTTTTAGCAAAGTGCAAAAAAGAAATCACAGAACTAATTAATTGGCAGGTTGATCACACCGTGCGACGAAACTTGCAAGGAAAGTAAAATCAAAGTTAAAGTTATTTGTATCACTCCAAGTTCAGGAAATAAAGCGCTTAGCGCATTATTTATATTTATGTAAATTTAATGAATATTTATACGTATATTAACTTACTGAATATTTCTCAGGACAGTAGCACACAGCTTTACGCTTGTCTGCCCTACAAAGAGCGTTCACGCCACAGGTCTGCAATGTGCAAGGATCGCGGCAGTCTTCATTGATGCAAGCTTCTTGAGCGAGGCAGTCCGAGTTGTCTCGGCAACCAGCTGAGACCAAGACAACATCCTTATTATGACTTAAATAAATTTTCTTCTTATTTGCATACAATTAATTTAAAAAGAGCAAATAAGAGCATTAGATTTGAATAATATTTTACCGATGAAGCAGAAAACGTTTGGGTTGCCCTGATAGCCATCAGGACAAGAGCAGACCGGCCGGTGCTGATTGACGAAACACTCGGCGTTTGAGGCGCAGTTGTCGTACAGTGCACAGGGGTTCTGGCAGCGCAGTTCAATGCAGGCCAGTTCGTTGCTGCAATCGTCGTTCACACGACATTCCGGTTCGATAGGCGGAACAGCGGCTAAGTTCAGATGGGTACTCGTTAGAAACTCGAAATTGATAGTGAAATATTGATAAATTAATAATGAATATTACATAAAAAAATTTCAAGCTCAAATATGGCATTAGATATGAACGATTCTTGGCATACGTATATACAAATTGTTCACAAACATATATACACGTACACACAATGCAAGACAAGAAGTTAACACAAAAAGCAGAACGGTGCTCAGCGTTTTAAAATATATAGTAGCATCAAGATGCAAAATTTAAATCATTAAACACAAATTCAAGATGCAATCATAAAGCTAAAAGTATTCACGATGCATAAGTGCGTCGTCGCTTGGATATTACCACGTTGCACATATCAATAATAAACAGTGAAATAATGACATAATTCTTTTAGAATCACGCGCTCAAAAACAAACTAAGAATATGCATCCCTGAGTATTGCCAGGGACTAAACATGCAGCGTGCTGACATGCCAAGCACAAACATAAGTATTATTGAACTATTTAGATCGAGATCAGAAGAAGATAAAGATCAGACGAAAATTCTTACTCTTAAGGCACTGGATGTAAGGATCACCCGTTAAACCGGGAGGACAAGAGCAGATGGCGCGGTGTATTTGTACGTCGCAGAGTGCGTTCGCAGCACACCGGTTTGCCTCAGTGCAAGGATTCTTACAGTATCCATCGAAGCATGCTCGGTCAAGTGGACAATCTTCATTGATGCGACATTGAGGCTCTACTACAGGAGCTGGTCGTATAGGAGCAGGAGTAGGAGGATAGCAGTGTACGTAAGGATTACCAGTAAAACCCGTCTGACAGACACACGAGGGAGAGTGCACCGTAACGAGACATTCCGCATTGAAGCCACAACTTATTTTATATGTACATGGGTCACGGCATGTTCCATCGTCACAGGCAAGTGATAAGTCACAATCCTCATCGACTAGACACTCAGGTCGAGGTTTCACTGGATCATGCGGTCTTGGAGTAGTTGGTAGTTCAGGTAATTTGCAAGACACATGCGGGTTTCCAACATAACCAGGCGGACAATAACACTGAGGCCGATGGTTTTCACCCTTGCACACGGCATTTGGTGCGCATGGATTATTTGCAAGACATGCATCTCGGCAACCAGTATCAACGCAAGCTTGATGGTCAAGGCAATCAGTATCTACTATACACTCTGGTATTACACCGATTGGACGCGTGAGTGTGCATACAGCACTATGATCAGCCACAGCTCTACACTCAGAACCTTCACTACAAGGGGTGACTGAACAAGTCTTTGCACAAAGGGCACTAACGCATTTCTCGTCAAATTTGCATTCAGTTTCAATGGTGCAACCAACAGGTAGTGGGGCGTCAGTGATTGGTTCGATGAAAGTGGGTGATGTGGGGAAAAATGGCAATGGCGTTTGAGAGGTGAGTGGAGGTAGGAAAGTAGAAGAAGGAGCGCTGACAGGATAAATAGGCTCTTTTGGTTCCGGAGCAGGTATGAAAACTATTGGTGGTCTAGTATCGTGGACGGCAGTACTAATAGCAGTGCATCGTATTTGAGGATTTCCAGTTGTCCCGGGAGGACAAAGGCACACAGGGCGATGTTTCAAAGGTTTACAATCTGCATCTTCGCCGCAAATTCCCAGCGAGCAGACATCATAACAGAACATATTAATGCAAGAATTCTTGAGGTCACAGTCGTCACTGTTAGAGCACGCAATCGTGACAGAAGCAAGTGGGGGAATCACTGGCCTTAGAGGTATTGCAGGCTCAGTAGGACGAACGGCAGGTTTTTCTGTCGCCGGGGGAATTGGAGTTTCACTTTCAAAACCAGAAACTATTGTTTCGACAGTAATCTTACTAGTAACAGCTAACGGAGGAGAAAGAGGTTCTTGTTCAATTGTGGATAATGCAGAACACTTCAAAGTGGGATTACCAGTCGTTCCTGGCGGACAAGTGCATAATGGCCGATGAGCAATCGTTCTACAATCAGCGTTATCACCACAGATCCCAGGATGGCAAATGTCCAAGCAGAGTCTGTTGACACACGAATTATCAAAAGGACAAGAATCGCTACTTTCACACCCCACAACAACTGAAGGTGGTGTGGGAGGAGGGGGAGGAACATCGTAAAGAGGCTCTTTCTGCGTTGTAGGGATTATGACCACAGGAGGAGCAGGAGACGATGCATCGTGCCCAGAGACAATTGGTTCTTCAGGCAAACTAGTGGAATCTCCAGCCATTGGACTTTTGGTAGTGTGAACGTCGGTGAGCTTAGCAATACACTGGCGAGTTGGGTCTCCATCTGTTCCTGGCGGGCAAGTGCACACTGGTCGATGACCAGATATCTTACAATCGGCATCGACACCGCAAATTCCTAATCCGCACGAGTCATAACAAAGATGATTGATACAAGAATAATCAACCGGACACTCATCTCTATTTTCGCAGGCAATGTGAATTACGGGCAATAGCACAGGCGACGGAGGTAATGGAGGTCTTGGCTCATCATGCACTGGCTGCTTTTCAGTCACAGGTGGGGGAAGCGATGATATTTCGGAACCCGGCACAACCGACAAATCAGGATAAGTCGGATGTAATCCATGTACTGGACCTAAAGTTGTAACTTTGTCAGTTACAACGGCTAGGCAGGCCACTGTGGGATTTCCACTCGTTCCAGGTGGACAGTCACAAGACGGTCTATGATTTACTGTCTGACAATCCGCATTTTCTCCACAGAGTCCGGGGTGACAAATCTCCAAGCAAAGCTGATTTACACAAGTATTATCGAATGGACATTCGTCGTTCGTCTGGCAGCTGATGGCAAATGGCGAAGGAGTTGGAACTAAATCAGGTGGAGAATATTCAGGGTGAATAGGGCCTATTGTTGTGATGAAAATTGGCGGCTGAACAGTTGATTTTTCGCCTATTACTGGTCTTAAGGGGGAATCAGGAGGCAATGTCGACGTAGCCACAATAGGCGGATGCATAGTAAAATGATCAGTTGCAATTGCAATACAACGTTGCTGAGGATCACCTTTCGTTCCAGGAGGACAGGTGCATATAGGACGATGATTCATTGTTGTGCATGAAGCATCTTTGCCGCAAATACCAAGTGCGCAAGCAGGATAACAAAGCAGGTTGATGCAGGAACTCTGAATATCACAATCATCATTGTTTGCGCACGCAATTGAGAGTGAAGGTGGAATGGGCGGTGGAGCAGGAGGATCGTATGATATTTCAGGTGGGCGATTCGTTGGTCCATCACTGATGGGTGGGGGATGAGGAGACGTTATTGATGATGCCTCAATTGGTTCATCAATTGCAGGGTCTGACGGTTCTGGGACTGGCGGATATGTTTCTACAATATCTATTAGCATTGCGGTACATTTTATCGTGGGATTGCCTGTCGTACCAGGAGGACAAACACATGCAGGACGATTCTTTCCTGTGACGCAGTCTGCATTTATTCCACATAATCCTTGGAAGCATATATCCATGCACAAACGGTTGAAGCAAGTGGTTCCGAATGTGCATTCACTGTTGCCTTCACATCCTGTCGGATTCGGAAGAGGAGTAGGAACAACTGGAGGGGTGCTTGGAATAGGTTCAACTGGTTTCGGTGTAGGCGGAATGCCTAGTGGAGGTTTTAATGGAGGAATTCCCTCAAAAGTAGGAATTATGGTTTCATCTGAAATTGCAGGATGGTCACTAACCATTGGTGGTGGTAATGTATGCGCTTCTGTCAACACCGCAGCACATTGGTGAATAGGATGTCCAGTAGTTCCAGGTGGACATGTGCAAACTGGCCTGTGCTCAGCGGTAACGCAGTCAGCGTCTAGTCCACAAATTCCAAGGGCACAAACATCGTAACATATATTATTCAAGCAGGAGTTATCCATGGAACAGTCATCATTATTTTCACAAGCTATTATAATAGGGGGAACAATTGGTGCTGTGAGAGGAATGTCTTCCTTAGGTTCCTCCGGGAACTGCGGAGGAACATCAGCTACAGGCGGTGGTGTAGTTGGTGATGGTACTTTGCCAGAAATTATAGGTCCTTCAGGAGGGAAGCTCACAGGCTGTCCAAGAGGACTCATTGTAGTCGGTCTTTCAGTTGCAAGAGCGTCACACTTCTTGGTTGGATTGCCGGTAGTTCCCGGAGGACAGGTACAAACTGGGCGATTTTTTCTGGTTTGACATTCCGCATTTACTCCACACAGCCCCTGATGGCAGATATCCATGCACAACCTATTCACGCAGGTACTGTCGTACGGACAAGCGTCGTTGCTTTCACAGCCAACAGATACCGAAGGCGGAGTTGGCGGGATCACAGGAGTTTTTACAGGAGGGTCTGCTGGAAACGGAGTAGGAGAAATTCCTTGAGGAGATGGTGTCGTTGACGATGGACCATGTGCAGCAACTAACGTCTCTTCGTGCATGGGGATGTATTCAGTGATTGGTGCCTGGGGAGTTGGAGGTCTTTCAGTCGTCATCGCAACGCATTTAATTTGCGGGTCCCCTCTTGTTCCAGGAGGACATACACAGACTGGACGATGATTTCCTGTCAAGCACTCAGAATTCTCTCCGCAGATGTTCAGACTACAAGTTTCGTAGCATAGGCGGTTTATGCAAGCATTGTCGGTATCACAATCATCATTGTTTTCGCACGCAATGATAACAGATGGGACGAGTGGCGGTGGAGCAGGTATTATCGCAGGTGGCTGGGCTGGAGGAAGAGTAGTCACCGATAATGGAGGAGGCACAGTAGGAGGAGCGTCAAAGGTAGGAATTATGGAAGCCGATGGTGGTCTGACAGAAACATCGGATATAGGAGGATAAAGCTCTGGAGTTACTGTCATCATCGCAGAGCACTTGATGGTTGGATTTCCAGTCGTTCCAGGAGGGCAGACGCAAACTGGTCGGTGAGACATCGTAACACAATCTGCATCATCTCCGCAAATGCCTTGATAACAGATGTCCATACACAGCCGATTTACGCATGAAGTTTCCGATGAGCATTCAGAACTCTTTTTGCATCCTACCGCTATTGGAGACGGTGTGGGGGGAATTGGCATTGGAGTAATCGGAGGATCGATGGGATAGGGCGTGGGATCAAAGCCAATCGGGCCAAATGTAGATGATGCGGGACCTTTTCCAGCAACGATATGTTCATCGGGCACGGTTGTTTCTGGACCAGCCACCGGAGAATGAACAATTGGTATTTCTGTCATGAGTGCTGAACAAGAATGCAGTGGATGACCGGTCATCCCGGGAGGACATGTGCACACTGGGCGATGCATGTCAACTACACAGTTAGCGTCAACACCACAAACACCAAGAGAGCATACGTCATAACACAAACTGTTGATGCAAGAGAAATCAAGAGTGCAATCATCATTATTTTCGCACGCAATTGTAAATGAAGGTAGAACAGGTGGTGGCAGCGGACGAGGTTCTTGAGGTTCTGGGGGGATTACAGCTGTAATGAATGACGGTGGAGCGAAAGTTGTAGATGGAGGATGGCCTGCAACTATTGATTCATCAGGTAAAGGTGGTATTGCATCTGCTAATGGAGGCTGAAGAGGGACTAATCGATCAATTTCCATAGCCATACATTTGACAGTCGGGTTCCCAGTGGTGCCTGGAGGACACAAACAAGTCGGCCTATTTCTTTTTGTAGAGCAATCGGCATTTTCACCACAAAATCCAGGATGACAGATATCCATGCATAGTTTGTTTATACACGAATTGTCGAAAGGACAATCATCACTACTCTCACAACCAACAGCAATTGGGGGAGGAGTAGGCACTAAAGGTGGCTCCAAAACAATGGGATCTTGAGGCTTTGATGTGGGAGGGATTCCTATGGGAGGAGGTCTAGAAGAAGTAGGTCCAGCAATGGGGACAATCGGTTTACCAGGCAACGGCGGTGCTTCATCTGAGACTGGTGTCTTAACAGGAGGAATACTCGTCAGTATAGAGGTACATCGAATTTGAGGATTTCCAGTCGTACCCGGAGGACAGATGCAGACGGGTCTGTGAGATTTGTGTATACAAGTGGCATCTTCTCCACAAACGCCTAGTTGGCAGGCATTTAAACACATAAAGTTTACACAAGAATTTTCAGTATCACAGTCATCATTATTTTTGCACGCAATTATAATCGTAGGAGATATTGGAGGAGCCGGAGGAACGGTTACAGGAGGCTCACTTGGTCTAAGCGTAGTAACATACGTGGGTGATGGAGTGGTTGTTGCAGGTCCAAGAGCAGGTGACAGTGGGGTGTCAGGATAGTCTTTAGGTTCATCCTGAAGTGGCGGATGCATCGGTGGGGGAATTTCTGTCGCAAGAGCTGTACACTTGATAGTAGGATTTCCGGTCGTTCCCGCTGGACAAATGCACATGGGCCGGTTTGCTAATGTTCGACAATCCGCATTTGAACCACACAGTCCTTCATAACAAATATCCATGCATAATTTGTTCACACAACTCATGTCGTACTTGCAGTTGTCATTATTTTCGCACCCTACGGGGATGAGAGGTGGTATTGGAGGCACTTGAGGCAAAACTAGCGCAGGTTCCAATGGTGGTTGAGTCGGTGGACCATGCATGGGTTGCGGTGTAGTTTTTGCCGGTTCTTGAGATGGCACAATTTTTTCAGTTTTTTTCGTGGTCGGATAGTCACCAATAGGCTCAAATACCAACGGTCTATCTGTCAACAAGGCAACGCATCTTTCTTGAGGGTCTCCAGTAGTTCCAGGTGGGCAAGTACATACTGGGCGATGAGTGTTCACCGAACAATCCGCATTTTCGCCGCATATGTCGATGCTACAAACATCATAACAAAGTCCGTTGATGCAAGAGTTATCAGTTGAACATTGATCATTGTTTTCGCAAGCAATGTAAACTGCGGGAATGATTGGTTGAGCAGGAGGTCTAGGCAAGTCAGGAACAGGAGGATATGGAGTGGGCTCAGTATACGTAGGTGGTAATGGTGATGAGGCAGGTATGAAAGTTGGTTCAATGGGTAAAGCAGGATCGAATGGCTTTATTTCGACTAACGGTTTGAGAGTAACTCGAGTCTCGGTCTGCAACGCGCTACACGACTTCGTCGGGTTACCTGTAGTTCCTGCAGGACACACGCATTTCGGTCGATTACCTAGAGTAATACAGTCAGCATTTAACCCACATAACCCTTGATAACAAATATCCATGCATAACTTATTAATACAGGAATTATCAAATGGACACTCACTGGTACTAGTGCAACCAATGCTGATGGGTAGAGGCGTGGGAGGAACAGGAGGAGGGGTAAATACAGGGTCAGATGGCAGAGGAGTAGGTGGAACTCCCAAAGGAGGCGGATATGAGGTAGTCGGTCCCAAAATTGGATTTATCGGATCGTCAGAAGGCATAGTCGGGTGTTGCGGTACAGGAGGTAACACTTCAGTTCTATCAGTGCTAACTGCGATGCACCTTATAAGAGGATCGCCAGTTGTACCAGGAGGACAAGTGCATACGGGCCTATGCTTCAAGTGTATGCAATCAGCATTCTCACCACAAACTCCAAGCATGCAAGCATCGTAACATATCTTATTAATACAAGAATTTTCAATATCGCAGTCATCATTGTTTTCACATGCTATGATAATGTTTGGTACAATTGGAGGCGCAGGTGGAATGATAATAGGAGGTTCAGGTTGAGGAGGAATAGTTTGCACTAAGGGACGAGGCGTCGTTTCTGAAGGTTCAAATAGTGGGCGGATTTTTTCATCTGACGGGAATAGAGGACTTGCAGCTTCTGGTGGCGGTAGTTCATATGGTCGTTCAGTAGCCATAGCGGAACATTTGATAGTAGGATTGCCTGTGGTACCGGGGGGGCACTTGCATAACGGTTTATTCGCCACTGTTGTGCACTCAGCATTATCGCCGCAAAGTCCTTGGTAACAAATGTCCATGCATAGCTGATTCACACAAGTCATTTCGTAACTGCAGAAATGATTACTTTCACAACCAACTGGGTATGGAGGAGGTACCGGGGCAATTGGAGTAGACGGAATGCGGGGTTCTTCAGGCAAACTAGGGGCAGGAATACCAATTGGAGGCAAGACAGTACTCGGTGAACCTTGTAATGGAACGATTTGCTCATCTGTAGGCGGTTGTGCTACTCCAGTGATGGGATCATGCACTGGTGGTGGTAAATCACCAATCATTGCAACACATTTGACCTGAGGGTCTCCAGACGTTCCCGGTGGACAAGTGCACACAGGTCGATGATTTGATATTCTACAATCTGCATTTTCGCCGCAGATTCCTAACGAACAGACGTCGTAGCAAAGTTTGTTAATACAAGAATTGTCCATTGAACACTCGTCTCTGTTTTCACAAGCAATGATAACGATAGGTGCTTGAATTGTTGGGGCCGGCTTTGGAACTTGTGGATCGGCAGGATACGGAGTAGGTTGAATCATCGTCGGAGGCAAAGGTGAAGATGCTGGCACATATGTAGGCTGTATGGGTACTTCGGGCAATGGTTGCAAAACTTCTGACATTGGGGGGTTTTCCGGTGATTCATCAGACACCAAAGCATAACATTTATCAGTCGGATTTCCAGTGCTTCCAGGAGGACATTTGCAAACTGCTTGATTTTTGGAGGTTATGCAATCAGCATTCTCTCCACATAATCCTTGATGGCAAATATCCATACACAATTTATTGACGCATGAATTGTCAAAAGGACAATCGCTTGCAGTTTTACACCCAACCGCAATGGCAGGTGGACGCGGAGCAGGAGGTGGGGGGTTATAAATCGGGGGCGACGGAATAGGAGTTGACTGGTCTGCTAATGGAGGGAGAGCAGGTGACGACGTTACTGCAATAGGCGAAATTGGTGCAGATGTAATTAAAGGCTGATCATGAGTAATGGGAGGACGCACCGTAATTTCATCTTTCTCTACGGCAGAACATTTGATTTGCGGATCACCAGTAGTTCCAGGTGGACAGTTGCAAACAGGCCTATGATTGAAAGATATACAATCTGCGTTCTCACCACACACACCCAAAGAACATGCATCAACGCATAACAAATTTATACATGCATTGTCAACATCACAATCATCATAATTTTGGCATGCTACACTAAATGGAGGTACAATTGGAGGAGGCAACGGTATAATAACAGGTGGCTCTGTCGGCCTGGGTGTTGTGACAAAATCAGGTCGAGGAGTCGTAGGACTAGGCTCAGAAAGAGGTGGAATGTGAATATCATCGTAAACATTCGTTTCACCAGCAACTGGTGGTTGGAGAATATATGGTCTTTCGGTGGCCATTGCTGAACACTTTATCGTAGGGTTGCCTGTAGTGCCAGGAGGACATGAGCATACAGGCCGATTGCCCGCAGTTACGCAATCAGCATTGGTTCCACACAAACCTTGATAGCACATGTCCATGCAAAGAGAATTCACACAGGTCATGCGATAATTGCATTCAGCATTGCTCTCACAGCCAACAGGAATAGAAGGAGCCAGCGGAGGTAATGGTGCTACTGGAGCAGGAGGATCTGCTGGTCTTTCAGGAGGGGGAACTCCCATTGGTGAGGGAGGTGGAGTCGTAGAGCCTCGTAGTGGAAGGATAGGTTGGTCTCCTGGGCGTGGCAGCTTTTCTTCAATGGGATGGTGCAACTCTGGTTTTTCTGTCAATAGGGCGAAGCAGTTTCGAAGTGGATCACCAGTTGTCCCCGGAGGACAAGAACATACAGGTCGATGTCGCGATACGGAGCAATCAGCGTCTTCACCACAAATACCAAGGGAACATACATCATAGCACAACCTATTTAAACAGCTGTTATCGAGAGGACAATTGTCATTATTTTCGCAAGCTACGATCACTAATGGCAAAAGCGGTGGTGGAAGAGGGCGAATTACTTCTGGATCAGCAGGTGGAGGAGTAGGTTCAATGAATATAGGTGGCATCGGCGTTGCAGAAGGTTCACGACTCGGCTCTATTGACAGAATTGGAGGTGGGGGCCGAGAGTCAGATAAAGGACCGCTTGTGGTCACGTCTAATGAGCTTACTGCAATGCATCTATCAGTTGGATTACCAGTTGTTCCCGGTGGACAAACACACTGAGGTCTGTTGCCTTTAGTTATGCAATCAGCATTGGTTCCACACAATCCTTGGTAACAGATATCCATGCATAATTTATTGACACAAGAGTTATCGAATGGACAATCTGTGGTTGTCTTGCATCCAACAGTTATAGGAGGAGGCAGAGGAATCGTGGGAGGTTGGATTGTTGGAGGTTCGGGCGAGGTCAGATGAGGTTCAGCAGATGCTTGAGGTCTTGGAGATGATGGGCCATACACTGGTTTAATTGGCGAGTCTGGAATAGGAGGGATGTGATCTCCAATTGGTCTTGGCATTGTTTTAGTTTCCGTGACAAGAGCAGAACACTTTATTCGTGGATCACCCGTAGTTCCCGGTGGGCATAAACAAATGGGTCGATGAGCGGCAGTGATGCAATCAGAATTTTCTCCACAAACGCCAAGTCCGCACGATTTTATGCACAACATATTGATGCACGAATTGTCAGTATCGCAGTCATCATTATTTTCACAAGCAATTTTGATTGGGATGACGACCGGGGGTGGAGGTGGAATTACTGTAATGATATCTGTTGGACGAAGGGAGGTAACGCCAATAGGTCTGGCTGTCGTGAAAGGTTCACCAGCAACTGGATGCAATGGACTTGGAGGAACTTGAGGCGAAAGTTCAGCAACAGGAGGTGTATGTGGAATAGGCCTATCGGTGGCAAGAGCAGAGCACTTGATGGTTGGATTGCCAGTAGTTCCCGGAGGACAGTCGCAAAGTGGTTTGTGCCCACTGGTTGTACATTCGGCATTTTCTCCGCACAAGCCTGGGTAGCAAACATCCATGCACAAAGTATTAACACACGTCATGTCATAGTTGCACTCATCATTATTTGTGCATCCAATTAATATTGGAGGAGGTACAGGTGGCGATGGAGGTTTATGAGTTTGTGGTTCTACATAATCATATTGGCTGGGAATTCCAATAGGAGGTTGTAATACCGGCGCTGCACCAGGTACCGGTTTGATAGGGCGAGAAGGTTCGAATGATGTGTGTTCTGCAACAGGCTCTTTAAGTTCTGGTAATTCAGTTAAAATAGCCATACACTGATACTGGGGATTACCAGTCGTACCTGGTGGGCAGTCGCATACCGGTCTGTGGTTGGCAATTTTGCAATCGGCATCAGTTCCACATATTCCTAATAAACAAACGTCATAACATTGTTTGTTGATGCATGAGTTATCCATCGGACATTCGTCATTACTTTCACACGCCACCACGAAGGGAGGTATAATTTCTGGTAATTGCGGTCTATGATAAGGAACCTCAGTTGGACTGTGAGATGGTAATTCTGCTATGGGAGGAGCTAAAGTGGAGGCCGGTCCAAGTTCTGGGGCAATAGGACTTTCTGGAACGTATGGTATATCTTCGCCTATCGGTCGGGGAGTCGTCTTAATTTCAGTGGTCAAAGCTACACATCTGTCAGTCGGATTTCCAGTAGTGCCAGGAGGACACTGACATATTGGCCTATGACCTATTGTCTGACAATTTGCATTCTGTCCGCACAAACTTTCATGACACATGTCCATGCAAAGCTTATTGATGCACGAATTATCATAGGGGCATCGATCGTTGCTTTCACAACCAACAGCTATGGCTGGAGCTATTGGCATCGGAGAGTGTACAGGCACTGGAGGTTCTTCTGGTCTTGGCGTTTGTGGACCAGCAATTGGAGGCAGCGTCTGCGATGGTATACCTGTGGTTGGATGAATAATTTCATCAGTCACAAAGGTGCTTTGCACCAATGGAGGTAGGTGAGTTGAGGGTAAATCACCTAGCAAGGACGTGCACTTACTCTGAGGGTCCCCAGTTGTACCGATAGGACACAGGCATATAGGTCGATGATTAATGACTGAGCATTCTGCGTTTTCACCACACATGCCAAGTCCACATGCATCATAACATAACATATTAATACAAGAACTATGCATATCACAAAAATCATTATTTTCACATGCAATTGGGATCGAAGGAACGATGGGTGGAGGCAATGGTTCAACAAAGCTAGGTTCTTTGATGGGAATACTAGTAGAATCCTGGATAGGCCCAAGAGGAGCAAACGAAGATCCTTTCACG